GGCTGAAACCCCCCGGGTAGACGCCCCGCGTTGGGGAGCGCAAAACCGCCCCCCCCGGGGGGAAAAGGGGGGGGACCCGCGGCCTATTGGGCCGGAGCCGGAAGCGTGAAAGGCGGGCTCATGCCGCGCAAGGAGGCGGGCGGTGTTTGCTCCGTCGCAGGTCGGTGCATCTGTTTGTTCCGCGTTGTTAGTTGGTTAAGGGCTGTTAGCGGCGATTTGCGCGTCTCTGGCACAAATGCTTGTTTCTGCTCTGAAAAGCGTCTTGTCGGGGAGAACGAACGCTTGGCTGAATTCCTGCCTCGAGGCTTTGAAAGGCCCCGGTGCCTCGTGCCGGATGAAATACAAAGACACGTTGTTAAAGAGACGTCGTTTCTGTGCAGGAGCAAAAAATCCACGAAAAGTAGCGGAGCTGCTGCGCGCGTTATAAGGGCGTCAGTAGGCAAGACTCTGCCCGCTAGGAGTGAGTCAAAGTAAACGTGCTTAATTTGGCACTCCTAACCAGGTTTGCTTAGAAGTGAGTCTCGATGTGTTCACGGACTCCTGTTTCCTTTCGCAGGATCAGCCCGTGCCACGGTGGACTGTCCTCTGGCATCTTCATGTGGCTTCTGGTAGTGTGATGAGTCCCCTGTTCAAGTGCAACCTGCATTTAGGTTCAGCTAGTGGGGTGGTAGAAAGTACTGTAATGTAAAAATCAGATAAGAATCAACATATTTGCTTGTTGTTCTTATGTATTTTAAAAGATGCAATGTTGAAAAAATACAGGGTTGTTTGCCTATTAAGGAGGATGGCTGTCATTTAAAAAAAATATGTATTAACTGATCCACCACCATCCATCAGCCCTTCCAGACCAGGAAACCAAAACTCTGGGTACTAATACTATCTTTATTGTAAGGTTACAGTAACAGAATCTTGCAAGTCTGAAAGTGCATTCCCCCTCCCCTGCCTTCATGTTCCAGAGAACCAGGGAGGGCCATTTCAGAGTTGCTTTCTACATCCCCATTCCCTCTGTGGGCTGAGATATCTCTTGTCTGACCATTGCCCTGGCTGCTGCTCTTTCTCCTGTCTCTCAAGGTTATTCTCACAGCACATTACATCTTCTCAGACTGTTTGTCTGTGACCTGGTAGCCTGCTGGTAATGGTGGGGATATCTTGGCCTACTATTAATCTGCTCTTAGCACCACACGATCTTACTTCACAATATATTTGAAAAGAATTCCGCCTTTGTACTATGCACATAAATGGAGAGGTAGGCTTTGTTGAATTCAGTGAACGTATCGACCATATTTTGAGCAGCTATGTTAGTGTTTTTTTTTATAAGCCAAGGACAGACACAGCAGAAGGAAGCAGATTAATTCAGAATCAATCCAGACAGTTCTTTGACTATGCTATTAAAAGATGTAAGGGCTAAATGTTTTATCGATGTTTCAGATGCCTTCTTCAGAAAAAGAACGAAGATCCGTCTTCAAACTGCAGTGAATGGGTAAGCAGGAAATAAATAAATGGTTACTTTTAGATCTTGGTGTATCTATAGAAGAAACCCCTACACTTTATTTATTTATATATAGCATTTGGGTTCCACTGTTTGCCAAAACAATTTTCCAGAATGGCTTATAAAGATCAGTAGTAAAACAAATCTTGCTTCCAAGCATATTGTTTAAAAACATGAGATATAAATAAGCAAAAAAGAAAGAAAGGAAAGAAAGAAAGAAAAAGGTGAAAGAAGAAATTTACAGAGATTCTGCTATTTGGTTCTTGTAATTATTTTTTAAAGTTAAACAGTTCACACTCTGACTTTTCTTGGAATCAAATCCTTTCAAAGATATTAAACAGGCTTGTGCATATAATACAAACCTATAAGTGTTGATAGACATGTAGCAGACCTGTACATGTTTAGTCAAAAATTTGTTGAAAATAATCAGTTGAATTCAGAAGAGTTTACTCTTAGGGAAGTAGGCATCAGATTACAGCATAAAAATTTAATGTTTCCATTTTAGTATTGCTGTTAACCAGTGTTTCACAACCTTGGCAGCTTGAAACGGTGTGGACTTCATCTCCCAGAATTCCCCAGCCAACCCTGCTGGCTGGGGAATTCTGGGAGATGAAATCCACAGAGTTTCCGGTTACCAAGGTTGAGAAATACTGCTCTTAACTACATAGGGTAGGGATGTGGAACCAATGACCTTGATGTTGTGGAAACACCAGGAGCCTCAGCCAACAAGATCGATGATGAAGGATGCTGAGGGCTGAAGTCCAGCAGTAGCTAGGACGCCATGCTTCTCCATTCCTGTCATAGAACCTACTGCTTAGTTGTGATTCAGTAGCAGGATGTGCTATTATACGTTCCTGTCTACATTTTTTGCACTCATAAATTTCCTCTCTCTCCAGTGGGGAAAACGGTTTCTTAACTGTAGTTCAGAAACAAGAAGCTGTCCTGTGTCAGATCAGACCACGATGCTGTCTCCTTCACTGTTGTGTAGCCATAATGGCCATGTTGGCTTTCCGTAGTTCCAGACAGTTCTAGGAAATGCTAGATTGTTTTGCTTATACTTTGCCCATTCAGGAATGGGAAGTCAAAGCAGAAGAAATATTTGGGGGCGGGAACCTGATTTTGGCCTGGAACTTGGGTTGGAGTAAAAAAGGAAATCCGTTATTTTTTGTAGATTTTTTGCCTGCCTGCCTGCCTGCCTATGTATGTTATATATGCACATGCCTTCTGTTCTACTCTCCAGCATCTCATCTTAGGTACTTAGGAACCCAAAGTAAGCAACCCTAATTGGAATCCTAAACTCTTCCCCTTTCCATCTTCCCTTGTCTGCAAGATGAAGGAAAGGAGAAAAAGCTTCCAAAAATAAATTTTGAAATCCTTCCTCAAATTTCAGATTTCTGTGATCCTGTACTGTTCTGACGTTTCGGTATCGGACTAACTAAACTTATTATCTCATTGTTTTTAGGTATATTACTAGGATGTCCTCCTAAGGGTTGAGAAGCCTAAAAATGTTCTTCCAATCAGAGATTTTGCCTAGATGGGAACTGTATCTTTACTTGTTTCTTTCTTTTGGCTTTCATTTTTATTCTTTCTATGAAGTCTTCCAAGCTTCTCAAGGTAAGTCCCAATTACAGACCTATTATCTTTAGGTATTATTTTTTGCTTTTGTACTTCTCAGTAAATTGAAGTAAATTTACTGCTTTCTGCTTTCCTACAGTCCCAAGCAGGATATGGCACTGAATCATTTTGCTTGTGCATATGCTTTCTTTGAGTGAGCAAAGAGCTCTAGAGGAGTCCTTGTGGAACAAGGTATAAGTTAAGTGCCTTCTTTTAATTCAAAGCCTGTGCTTTACCTAGGAAGAAACCACTAGAAATGATAATTTGACACTTGCTTTTTATCTGAAAGAGGCAAAACTGATCTGAATATTGGCTTATGAATGTATTTTTGAGGAAAGAACAATGAAAATGCATTTTTCCTTTTTTAAAAATAATCCTATAGAATATTTTTCTTGTGTAGTGGAAAGTTTTGTACAATATGGCTAACGTTTAACAGAGAAAGGTGCCAGTAAAGTCAAGAACTTTAAAAATAAACATGTTTAAAAACAAAAAGCCAAAGTGGATTGTTGTGGGAGAGTAGATATAGTTTTAAATAGTAAAGTGTTTGTGGGGCGATGAAACTCTCATTCTGATCAGAGCAATGCTGTTTTTTGGAGTAGACTCTTTAATCCCTTTCTCATATGACTTTTCCCTAACCTGAATTGATCCTGCTCACTTCAAGCTACTCTTTTTGGACTGAGGAGAAGGGGGGAAAGATGTTACTTTTATAGTCATGCTGCTCTTATAAAAAACAAAAACCAATCAACAGATTTAACTAAAGAATCAATTAAAGAAGGCTCTTTAAGAAGAATGGAAAAAAAAGAGAGCCTTCTTTAATTGATTCTTTAGTTAAATCTGTTGATTGGTTTTTGTTTTTTATAAGAGCAGCATGACTATAAAAGTAACATCTTTCCCCCCTTCTCCTCAGTCCAAAAAGAGAGCCTTCTTTAATTGATTCTTTAGTTAAATCTGTTGATTGGTTTTTGTTTTTTATAAGAGCAGCATGACTATAAAAGTAACATCTTTCCCCCCTTCTCCTCAGTCCAAAAAGAATCTCCTTTTTGTTTCCCACCAAAAGATATTGCATATTGTGTGTTTGTGTAGAGTTGCAATATGCAAATTGCTAAATTTAACTAGTCCAAAGGCAGGTGATAAACCAAACTATCTTTCTATAGACCATTTGAGCACAAGATTGAAATGTATACAGGGGTCAAGATTTCATCTGGCATGTGCTACCTACATTTTGTTATGGTTTTGCATGAATCACAGCTGTTGAAACATTTTGCACATTGGTTATTAGTTAACTTATTTAACAAAATGTTTAAACCCATTGGTAACAGAAGCTTCCTTGGCTTCATAGAATGTGACAGAAAATTCAGTGCAAAACACCCTTTCAGTTGTTTCTCTTTTGAATATCATAGCCTATGCATATCTGTTTGCAAGCGATAATGTTCTTTATTATTATAGGGTAGAATAACAGAACCTTGAAAGCCTGCCAGAGTTTTTCTCTGTTCCATCTTAGACCAAACAAAATCAAGGCAAGGTTATTTTGGGTTTCTTTCTACTTCTCAGGTCTGAATTCTTTTTTGTCCTCCCTTAATGGTATATTGTTCCCTTCTCCCTTCCCAAGGCCAGGTCTGTATTTTTTCACAGCTTGGGCTAAAGTCATGATGGAAGGGAATGTTGTTTTTACTTACTTAATGAAAAACAGGGAAGATAAGTGTTGCACCTATCTCTGAGGACAGAGTGCTTTACAAAACAGGGGCTACCCCAGAGAAGGTCTGTTATCTCATCTACATCCTGTTTACTTGTGGGGAGGGGTACTCTTAGTGGGCCCTCTCTAGATGACTCCAGATTCACTTCTGGCAAGACGTTGCTTGATATAGCCCAGTGCTCTTCTGTGAAGTGCTCTGAAGGTAACCAGTGCTCTGAAGTAAGCTGGGAAGCCTACTGGAACCAGTAGAATGATTTTAAAATAAATGCTGTTCTACATGGTAGGGTTGTCCCACCAATAGCCTAGTCACCATGTTTTGCATCAGTTGCAGTTTCCAGATCATCTCCAAAGATAGCCCCACGTACATTGTATTGTGATAGTTCAACTGAGTGGTGATCAGGACATGAGTTACGTTGTCAGTGTGTCCTGGTCCAAATAGGGTCACAAGCGGCACATCAGCTGAAGCAGGGCAAAGCCCCCCTGGCTACAGCTCCCAACTGCTGTTTCATTTGGAGCCAAGAATGTGGGAGGACCTCCCAGGGACAAACCACCTTTAATTAATTTAAGTAGTCTTAGTCAGTGGTTGCTAGTTTTCTGTTATAGTCTTACATTTATAAGCTTAACCGATGGCTTCATTATCTTTTTAATTAAGTACATTTTGAAAGATGCTTTGTCTGTAACCAGTTCTTTACACTGAATTGGGGAAAGTTATTTTATATGAGTCTTGTTTTAGATTGTGCTCTCCTGACCTGATGCTGTCACAAAGTCTTGGGACTAGAACTCCCAGAATTCCAAGCCAGCAAGTCTGTTATTGAGGGTTTTTTTAAAAAAATTGTTGTTCTAATTGGTTCTGGCATGATTCTATTTCTCTGAATGTCATAATCATCTTCAGTGACTTTCTGCTTTAGTCAACTAGCACACAAAGCTGAACCCAAAGTAAATTAATATTTCCTAATCATCTTAAATTACTTTAAGTACTTTTTATTACTTCATTACTTAAATTTACTAGGCGATTCCTTCACATTCCTTCAGCCTTAAATTGCTCATATTTACTCTTTAATCACTGTTTACCATCCCTGGATAAACATCACCATTCTTGGGGGACACAACTGACCTAAATTTCCTCTAGTGCAACCAGTTATTAATACACATATCTTTGTTTTTAAAAGCCCTGCTACAGTAAGTGGCTGTAGCAGCTGAAGCCAGGAGAATAAAAGTAAGGTGTGTTTGTGAGGGAAAGCCAGCCCTGTGAGCACAAAAGGAATTCCAGCTCATAAATAAGATAGATAAAAAGGGAAGAAACGCTTAAGGAGACAGGCAAGTTATGGGTCTGCATAAGTTTAGCAACAGGATAAGAAAGCTGGACCAGTCTCTTTTTTTGACCTTCCGCATCCCAATAGGGCTGTGTAGGGACTGCCCAAGCCATTTTGTAGCTGGCTACTGAGCTGTACAAATAGTCTGACCTGCTTCATGTCAGTCTGGAGGTAGTCTACTCTGACTTATTCTCAATTCATCACCCCCCATTGCTCCTGTTTAAAAAGAAATAGTTGTGTATGGCCTGTTTAATGTATTGTCACATGTACAACTGTTTACCTACTAGAAAGTCATGGGTTTGCCCAGTGAGCTCTTGGCTCTTGGCTCTCAGACGAATCTGAGACTGATGATCTGAGAGAAGCAGAACTGTTGACTGACAAGATACAGTATGTGGGAACAGAATACAGTATTATTATCCCACTCCCAGGATAACAGTTTATTTGTTGTCATGGAGGTTTGCTCAGGTCTAGTTCCAATTGCAGTGCAATTTGATAATTCAGAAACAAGATGCAAGTGACTAACTTTATTATGGTCTTAGAACAGCAGGTAGACATGAGATTCTTTGTCATTCATATGTGCAACAGCAAAGGAAGATCTGAACTGGTCTGAACATCATGGAAATTTCAATTCCACAGGAGTAATGAATCCTTGATTTTTTTACGCCTTCTTTAGGTTAGCAATTTTAGGTAACTTGATTCAAAAATTGTTGTGGTAGAATGCACCATTTGGGCTAACTTGAGGGTACAAACAGACAAACACATAAATGCAATGGGAGTTTTAGTAATATATAGATAGATAATCACTGTAAAGTGACTCTTGCTGTTCTTCATTTTTTCCACTAGGAGGAGATAGTAAAACAGTTTTTAGATTGTTGAAATAAGTAATATAACAAGTAACAAGGTGGTTTATATAAACAATTATCATTAGGATGTTAGATGTTTTAACCTCTAACATTTCAAATTATTTTTATCTCTAGTTTTTGATCTGATAATCTATCTTGATGTACAGAAAACAAAATAAAGGTGCTAATAAGAATATCCTTCATTATTTAAATATCCTCATATTTAAACCGAGACCTCAATCATCACAAGAAATGCGTAATTTGTTGGAACAGATTGAATTTAAGATTGGTTTTGAGTAATCTGAAACTCAACATAAGTCTTCAACAATAATGTGTGTAGCATCCGATTCTGTTATGGCTGCTGTCTTGAAAATTGCCAGGCAAGGGCTTTGGTAATAGCAGTGCGATGTGATGGGCCTTTCCAGATACACGGTTCAAGAATGTTTATACTGAGTGGGCAGTTATAAGTAGCTTCTTGAAAATTGTGCTTAGTAGGCATAGTAGAAAATACTATAAAATAGGTAAACTGTCAGTGGTTGACTATGTAGTAGAATTTTGTCTCAGCAGCACAACAGAAAGGTGTTAAAATGGACGAGGCAAAATGGAATGAGATGAACTAGTAGTACAGGGCATTAATGGAGCATGTTTCCGCAGACATTTCTGGATTATTCTGATCAAAATACTAATTGTAACAGAATTGGAAAGTTGAGCATTTACTTTAAATATACCACCTTTGGAGAATGGTTAATTTAGCAGATAGACATTAGTTGTTAATTTCCTCAACCTATTCTGGGGTTGGTGGTACCCATGAAATATCATAAATGCCTGTCATTATGATTCTTATTGCCGATGTTAAAGTTCTCAGATATTTATGCTCATTTTTCCACACCGTACTGTTTATGAAGGCATTGTCTTCAAAACAAATCCTTCTGAATCATCCGTATGAGCATCTCTGAACTGGCAACAGAAACTATACAGAGAGATTTAAAAAAAATATTCCCCTCAGCACTGCAGACTAGAACTATCTGGATTTGAAGGGAGAAATATGTTTTGGAACAAGTGTGGGTGAACATGTTCTATCCGTTGGTACTGCTTAAATCAAATGTGTATGCAGCTATATAGTCCTAGTGTAGAATCCACATTTCTAGATTAGATATTAGGATGGACACTTTTTAATGTAATTATTTAGTTCCTGGAGCCTAGAAATGTTTCAAAATTCTAGTCATGCTAGCTAGATCTAATTGCCAAAGAAGGGAAACAATATTATGCCTCCTGGGATAGACACGAGGCATATTAAGCTTTTTTTTTTTTTTTTGGTTAAAGCTTTTTACACACCAGCCAACATCTACACACAATTTAGAAAATTACTAGTAATTTTGATGGAGTTTGAGTGGAAGTCATCTCCCTCTCTGTCATGTTGCATAGGAAATTGTTAGGTCCGTGTTTTGTAAGATGAAATGACTTGTAGTCCTTATTTGACTTTATGTGCTTTTATCCCTCTCATTTTCCTGATGATGATTTATTTCACTTAACAAACACCCTGCTGCAATTTGCAGCTAGGAATGGCTACCAAAGAAACTTACAATTATCAATTAAATCCAGACAAAGGGACATATAATTAGAGATACTGATCCCTAGTAATTGGTGATATGAACTTGATTTTCAGCTCTCCTCTCCAGAGATAGATTTCCAGATACTGGTGTTAATCCTTTAACTCTCTAAATAGCTCAGGGCAGTTTTTCCTTCTGCCATTTCTTTATAATTAGTGTCAACACTCGTGGTTCTCCTTCAGGTGCCCCCCCAATGAAATAACTACAAAACAGAGCTTCTTCTGAGTTGTGGCTCCACAATTGTGGAATGTCTTCCCCAAAAGGGCTTACCTGACACCAACATTGTGGTCCGTTTAGGTTTTCCAACTTCAGATATGTTTCTGTTGTTACGCTTTTCAGATCATAAATTTACACTCGGCCTCTGATTTTATTTAGGTTTTATGTGCTTCTTGTCTGAGTTTGTTTTGGATTCAAACTTTTAAATGTTTTCTGCATTATACAAACAAATGCAAGTCATTGAAAGCAGCCTTTCTGTTGATTTGTAGTCTCAATTCCTAAGTTAATTTGTAGTCTAATGCATATATAGACATCTTAGAAATCCCACTGGGCTTAATGATATTCACTCCCTGAAAAGGGTCTCAGTCAGCCTTCTTAAGTCTGATGATCATGCTGGATTGGGACTGTGGAAATGGAAAACTACAGGTTAGTGAAGGTTGTTGGATGTTCTTTCTAGTTGGGGAAAATGAGTTGCAGAGATGCAGAATGTTATAATAATCCTTCCACTGATCTGTCAGAAGGTTGTCTTGTCTCTGTTGGAGTATATTCCATGAAGGTTATCACTTCTCTTGGTAATTGGTTCCACGGTAAAACTACTCTCCCTATTAGGAACATCTACCTGATTATTATTCAGACTGGAATCAGTTGAATTTCAAATACACATTCAACAGTATTTGAAGTATTTGCTTAATTAATCCAGTCAGTGGCTGGAATACTAGGCAGAAACAGCCTTTCATGTTTCAGAGTCAGCCTGATAAAATTTTGTATACTGTAAATAATCCCAAAGGTAAACTATTTTGTTTTCATTTTATGGTTTTTATTTTTAAAATGTAAGCTGCCCAGGGTCATGCAGGAGTCAGGCAGCCTCTACTTCCAATAAAATAAATAAAGTTCAGTATCTTTGGAATAAAATATATCTGATTCTGCATCTTTTAGTTGCTTTCTGCAAGACAGTTGCTCTGGATCAAGAGGGGCTGCTGGGTAACCAGGCAAAAAGAAGAGAAAAAAGAAAAGAAAAGAAAAACATTCTCAAAGAAGATGATGTCCTGCCCCTGAAATTTATTTTGGGTATCAGAAAATAAGAGGAAAAACTCATTCCTTTGAGAGATGAATTTCATTAGGTAGATATTAAGAATCTCCTCAGAAAACCAAAGGTGATAAATCAAGAGTTTAGCTCCTCATTTTGAAAGCTGCTTTCCTTCTAAGCTGTGCTCAGTTAATGGCTTGAACCTTTGAAGCGTTCTTTCTGGTAGGACCCAAAAATGGAAATTTATTGGCTTTTGTTAAGAAGTAATCGCTGGAGAGAATCTATTTGATATCCAATGCATTAGACATAGGAAATGTTTGTAAAGCATTTATTACATTCCCTTTTCTAGCTGTCTCCATTGGTATTTAGTGGACAGTAGCTACAGGCAATAGAAATGTACATATACACTTATTAGAACTATTGATCAATTAAGCAATTATTAGCTGATTTGCTTTTTACTGATTAATTAAATTTGAATAAAGCTCCATATAAAAGAGGAATATATAAAATGAAATACAATAAACATTATTACCAGATATTGTACTACGGACTCTCTTCTTTTCTTTTTAACATATTTTTGCTTAATACTGTTAATGTTGAGCCTTCATGCAGCTGATATTCACTCTTCTTATAACAGTCCTGATGTCATTTTAAAAAGTCTCATTCATATTATACTGTTGCTGCTGTTTGCTAACTTTTAAAGATAGAGCATTCTGAGGAGAGATGGCTAACTTGCTTACATTAGGAAGCCTATAGAAGATGCAGTTTAGTAAATGAAAGTTGTTGCAGTTCTCAACATAGAAAAAGTTCTCTTTGTTCAGATTTTCCCTTCTCTATGAATTGGAAACTTTGCACCTTTTATTTTTGTTCTTTTCTGTGTGACATCTTGATCAAATTGGACAAGTTGTGAGGGTCAGAGATCTCATCTAACAGTTGACAGTTCCTAATATATTAATGTATTCTGTAATAACTCTTACTTCCCTTAGACTCAGTGTCCTTGCAGTTTCATTCCTAATAACAGTACTTGGAATTTAGTTTTTCTTATGTCTCCTCTCTGTAAGAGGAGCTGATAGTATTGTGCTATTGTTGTTTGACTAAAGATTTCTTATTTCTGCAGAATATGAAGAGGAACTTGACAGAGAATTTGAACTGGAGAAAAATACACTTTTTGGGGGGTTGAGGAAGGTAAGGTCAATGAGATTACTTAATAGTTTGAATATGCATTGAAATGTGATTGAGATTGAATGACAGTAAGCAGTGCTTATCTTTGAGGCTTAGTTATTAAATTATGTTCAAGATGAAGGTAGAGCATTTTGGTACAAATTTTGGTCAAGCCTCTGTCCATCCAGCATCAAATGGCTTGTCAAATTGTCATGATAGGACTTGTCAATTAAAATGGTCTGTAGTACTTGAAAGAGAAATAGAATTAGTACTATATTAAATTTTGCATATTTGTTGCTGTGTAGCCTTGAGTGCGGTGCTGTCTGCAGGGTGGGTCAAAAGAGGCAACATGGTGGTTGCAGCATTGCGATTGAAGCCCTGCCCCTTTGTACATGTATGCAACATTGATGTGCATACAAAACAGGTAGCCTGTTTCGATTCCCACTGGGGTACTGATGCTTGAGTGTGCAAACAGCTGCAGTTTTGCAGTTGCACTCACCTTTCAGAGTGTTACAATTATTGTGTAGTACTTTCTTAATATGAGCTAAAATTGCTAGAAAACAATAAAGTTACTCTTTGTATTTTTGGAGGTTACCACAAATATTGAATATTTACTAGGCAAAAAAGTCTCAGATTAGATTTCTTTTATATTGTGTTGCCTTATATCTGAAAATATACCCATAGATTTGGGTGCTTGGGATACTTGAGGGATGGAGGAATGGAAAAGGCAGCTGTAGGTATAGATGTAGGTATAGATCTGATCCAATAGCTTCAGCCCGGTTCTTTTCCAGTCAGCACCTTCAGTAATTTCGGTTGTGCTGAGTTGAGCTAAGTTGCATTTTTATAAATTAATCCATTTGGAATACAGTGGTACCTCGGGTTATGAATTAATCCGTTCCGTGACTCTGGTCGCAACCCGATTTCTTCGCAACCGGAAGCAA